TTCAATATTTTGACAACAGACCCACCATTATTATTTGGGATTTTACCCCAACACTCAGATCTGCCGAAAAGGCAACAGTAGACAATTTGTTTTCTATTGCTGGTTATGAATAACATATGATGTCATGCGGCTGCAGTCGTGGCCGCACACTTTTGAAATTCCGAAATTTTAACAATTAAATCTGGAGAGATTTCTCCCAAAACCTACTGGGTTCCAAGATTTGTTCCTGAGTCTCTGGGATCATGGCCGTTAAGCAGCTTTGATCAGGATCCAGAAAGGCTGTTCATGGGCGGAGACTCGGAGTCTCGGAAAACTACCTTTTTAAAAGGAACAAACAGAAAGCACCCACTCCTTGCACCCTTATTTCCACTACCTGGAGCAGCCCCTGGCTGGGAGGTAGGTAATGCCCACCATGAAGTGACATGTGTTAGAAGATTAATAAAAGATCCTGTGTTATTGAACAGGAAGTGATCCTAATACTGGAATTATGTTCCCTACATGCAACAGTCCCTGGGATGTAGGCAAGGCTGACAAAGCTATATGATGAGGGGGAAACACAAGACCGTGCCTTTCTGTGTTCAGGGTCAGACACACAGAATGCCCGCTGACAATCCACTATAGCTTTTTGGATTTTGTTCCTCATTTCTTTTTTGTTTGTGTTTTGTTTGGGGGGGCCACAGCCAGTGATACTCAGGGGATGGGATGCCAGGGATTGAACCCAGTTTGGCCATGTACGAGGCTAGAGCCCTACCCATTGTGTTATCTCTCCAGTAGTCCCTGTTCCTTCATTTCTGAGGAAAATTAAGGCGGACAAGTTACCTCCCTTACCAAATCAGCCCATCCTGCAGCTTCTCAATGTATTACCCTACCAATGTCCTGTAGCTTCATCTCTCTCTCACCTAAACGTGCTCCCTGTTGATTGTCATCCCTCTAGATCATATCCTTACCTGCATCTTTCCCTTTCCTATAACTCAAGAGTGTGCCAAAAACTCCTGGTAGCAAAAAGGAAAATTTACAACAGCAATTTTTATTATAATCAAACCCCTTTTGTTCACAGTACCCAAAGAGAGATTCATCAATGAGCCTGCTATTAAATAAATTACAACTTAGAAAATGTATCTGTTGTGCACGTATAACCAGTTTTTCATCAGAGACTGATCTCATTCATGAGGATTAGTTGTAACATGGTTGTCTACCATTCACTGGACAGAGATAGGCAATGACAGCTTTTAGAGACGCAAAAGAAAAGCATAATTACCTTCTGCTTACTACTGTGTCCTTCCAGTGAGGTCACCTTTGGTTGACTAGAGCAAATTCAGAACAGAAGGAGGAGCCCTCCCTACCAGCTGAGTCCCAGCAGCCTTCACATCTGACCTATGTCATAGAAACGGCCCACATCACAGCGGGCTGCTCCACCATTCCTGACAGACAGAGAAGAGAGCAACCCTGGCCTAATTCCTCACCATCTTCTAGGGGGTCTAATTCCAAAAATCCACCCCAGTGATTCTTACATTGGTCCAAACACTCGAAAATCAATAGGGAAAACACGCAGAAGCCCAACCAAGCTCAGTGAGAAAAATCAATATCATCAAAGACATAAACAACACCAGAAAATCCTGTGTCATCAGTGACACCATGATAAAGATGCTCAATAAATTCAAAGAAACAATAGCATAGGTAGTCAGCAAAGCACAAGAAAGTATAAGCATCAAAATAAAAAACACAACAACTATCAAAAATGACAGATATGAAGAACACGATAGGTGATACTAATCAATCAACAAAAACTCTTAGTGGATGACAATTAATAACAAAAGCTGAAATTAAAAAATCAAGGAGCTAGGGGCTGAAGAGATAGCACAGCGGGTAGGGTGTTTGCCTTGCACGCGGCTGACCCAGGTTCGATTCCCAGCATCCCATATGGTCCCTCGAGCATCGCCAGGAGTGATTCCTGAGTGCAGAGCCAGGAGCAACCACTGTGCAATGCCCAGGTGTGACCCAAAAGCAAAAAAAAAAAAATCAAGGAGCTAAAAGTAGAGAAGGAAGATAAGAATTTCCTAGAGTTGAGGATTATAGGCACGGAGATCCAAGAGGTCAGATGGGTCACTGTACACAATGACAAAACCCAAATAGAGAACTGTTTCTCTGTAAATGTGCTCCCCGCTATACTGCTGCTCCAGCCCCTAGAGAAGGTGGCCATGATTCCCATGGATTCCACTGACTCAGGCAGCTTCCATCTGGGTAAGGGCTGGTGGTGATGGCGGTGCTCATACCTGCATTACTGAAGGCAGCAGGAGTGCTGGGCCCAGCTCAGAGGATGCTCCCAGCAGTGCTTGGGGACCAAACCCCAGGGGCTCTCCTGAAAAGTGTGCACTCCAGTCTTCTATGCCTTCTCCCCTGCCTACAAGGAAGCTTACTGTGAACTGTATTTGATAGCATGCACGATTTACCTCTTCAGTCTATTGTTGTACATTTGAGTGGTTTCCATTTGGAGCTGTCAGACAATGGTGCTGCTACAAACATTCTCGCTTACATCTTTTGTCAGAGAATCTGTGAGTGCTCAGAATTTTTGGTCTTTCCCTTCCTTCAATGCTCAGTAGAGGTCCAGTTCCTCCTATAGACTACATCCACCACTTTCCTGACCCTGAAGATTACTTTTTTTTCCCTTTTTAGCTAAGTGGGTCCATTTCTATGTATGAAGAGCAGTTATTAAAGAGTAATGAGTTCAGTCACTGTCACTGTCACTGTACTCCCGTTGTTCATCAATTTGCTCAAGCGGGCCCAGTAACGTCTCCATTGTGAGACTTGTTACTGTGTTTGGCATATCAAATACATCACGGGTAGCTTGCCAGGCTTTGCCATACAGGCGAAATACTCTTAGTAACTTGCCGAGCTCTCCAAGAGAGGCAGAGAAATCAAACCCGGGTCACCCGGGTTGGCCTCGTGCAAGGCAAACGCCCTACCCGCTGTGCTATTGCTCCAGCCCAAGAGGAAATTAAAATACAGAATAATACTTATAGAGGAGCAGGTCTAGAATAAGAGATCTCAAGGAATCACCAAGAAAGAGAAGTGCCTGCCCAGCACCGACTTACCCAGGTTTCAGGTCCTAACATTCAGCGGCACTCAGGCAGCAGTGTGCTCTCTGGCTAGTCGGGGGGAGTGGAGTGAGGGCAGACAGAGTAGGGCCAAGTGGTCAGACCTGCTCAGCCTCTTGTGCGCCACACCTGGACTTCAGGCCCCAGGACCCACCTAGTCCCCGAAACCAGAATCTGGGCTTGACTCCACTATTTCCTGATACTGTGACCAGTTTTCTTGACTCCCTGGTTGCTTCAGAATTAATACTCAAAGGCTTTTGCGCCTCCAGAGAAGCCCTTGTTCTCTCTAGGCCACAATATATCTCTTTCTCTCCTCTCACATTTCTCTTTCAATAAAACTGTCACTGTCACTATCCTGTCACTATCCTCCCATTGTTCGTCGATTTGCTCAAGCAGGCCCAGCAATGTCTCCATTGTGACACTTGTTACTGTGTTTGGCATATTGAATACATCACAGGTAACTTGCCAGGCTTTGCCATGCAGATGAGATACTTTCGGTACCTACCGGGCTCTCCAAGAGGGGCAGAGGAATCGAACCTGGGTTGGCTGGGTCAGCCGCGTGCAAGGCAAAACGCCCTACCCACTGTGCTATCGCTTCAGCCCATAAAACTACTTTGGAAAAATAAAGAGTTTACATTGATGTTCCAGAATATTCTCTTTCAGTCTTGTCACTGCCTCCCATTTCCCAGCATGTCATGGACCCTTCTAGATTCCTTAAGCCTAAGTCTTAAAGGCTGCTAAAAAAGATCTTCACAGCTCTCTGCAGGCCCAAACATTCAGGGTTACATAGAATAAACACTGGAGGGTTGGGGGGGTGGGAGGGAGGGAGAAAGTGGGGGCATGCCCTGGGGTGTGCAGGTGCTACATACACTGCTCAAGGGACCATTCAGTGCCAGGGCGCAAACCCAGGCCTTCAGCAAGCCAAGCAAGCTATATGAAATAAATTTGTTATATGCCTGCCAAAGGTGGGAGGTGGCAGAGAACCTGGGGACATTTGTGGAAGGTGGGGGACACTGATGGTGGGCTTGGTATTGGAACATGGTGTGCCTAAAACAACTCTACTATGAACAACTTTGTAAATTATGGTGTCTTAGGAGCATGCACTGTAGCACTATCCTCCCGTTGTTCATCGATTTGCTCGAGTGGGCCCAGTAACGTCTCCATTGTGAGACTTGTTGTTACTGTGTTTGGCATATCGAATACGTCACGGGTAGCTTGCCAGGCTGTGCCGTGCAGGCGAGATACCCTCGGTAGCTTGCTGGGCTCTCGGAGAGGGGCGGAAGAATCAAACCTGGGTTGACCGGGTCGGCTACGGGCAAGGCAAATGCCTTACCTGCTGTGCTATTGCTCCAGCCTTTGGTATCTTAATAAAAATTAAAAAAAGAAAAGAAAAAGAAAAGCATAATTGTCCTGGTCATATAGAACTGTGACAAGGATAAGGGCACTTCCTAAAGTGAGTTTCTACCTATATCAATCATTGAGTGAAGGTAAGTGGATATTGAGCACACAAAGAAGGCAAACTATTTGAATGGGAAAAAAAAAGAAAAAAAATTATATATAAACTGTCTTGTCTTCATAGGAATAAATAAGATTGAAATTGAAGTTGAATATGAATCTCAAATTAAGTTTCATCTTTCCTGAATAGTGTGGGGTTTAATAATGATTATATATTAATTACATATACATTTATCTGTGTATATGTGTGCTTACAGACATATGCACAATATAATCCAAACTATAAAAGCTTATCTCCTGCAACTCTACAAACTCTTTAGGAAAGATCATACTAAAATGTACAACAAAATTCTTAGCTGTAGTGATAATCCTGAAATTTTGTTGAAAAAACTATTATAAATCAATCTTAACTAATCAGGATCATTTTTAATTAAAATACAATGAAATTACCTGTAGATTTCCAGATGAGATTAAAACATTGGCTGAAGTTTGTTTTTTTTCATATCCCATGCTTTAAATGATTTGCTGTGAAATGCCAAACAGAAAATTAGAGTCATAACATATCAGCAGCAGGTACTATGCTTCCAAAGTCAATGTTCTATACCTCACAAACTGCTATACAAGTCAATTATTACATATCAATAAATTATTAAATGTCAACACTTTCCTTTTGGAAAAGGCTTGATCCTTTCCCCTCTTTACTTTCCAATCATCTCATGCAGCGATCAACATTTACAACTGGCCATTATTTTAGTAACAGACTATTTTCAGTCTCTGTTCCCCTGTGGCCATTTCTGGGGAAAAAATTTTTATATTCTAGTGGGGGAAAAACATTAGGAACTCTTGTCTCTGTCTTACATAGCTCTCCTCTCTAGACTGATTCAACTTAGTGCTCTTATGGACAACCCAATCGAAAGCATAAAATCAGCCGCCTACCTCTGCCTGGAGAAAGCTAAAACACAAATTGTTCCTCGTTGAAGGCTTCACGCGTCTACCTCTAAAAGAGAGGGGGTGCTGGGATGGGGAGAGATATGTTTGGATACACTGTTTCTTGGTAGTAGATCTCCCGGACATGGAAGCCCTAAATGCACGTAAACCCAGGAGCAGAGAAAACCATCTCCACCTCGCAGAGCTCCTCCTAGGCCAGCGTTGCACACGGTAAACATGGAATGCGCCCTGTGGTTCGCTTTCTGGAGCCACTCCCTACTGTTTGGGAAAGGGGCTCCATTGCACTTTGAATTTCTCCTTTTAAATGCCTGGGAGGAGCCTTAAGATCGAGACTCATGGATCAAGTGGCCCTGGCTCTCTGGGGTCCCCTCCCCTCTACCCATATCGCCCGGACTCCTCCTCGGGTCCTTTCCCATCCCCCCGCCCTCTCCACGAAGAACGTCTCCCACCGGGCTTCTGCGCCTAGGGGGGCGCGCTAACCCGGGCCTGCTCGGGACCCGCCACCCGCTGCTTCCCTCCACGCCGTGCCCACACCCCTGCCCTCCTCGCGGCCCAGCAGCAGGGCTTTGTGGCCGCGAGGCGCGATCCCCATCCCTGACCACAGCAGGCCGGGCAGCGCGCGCCCTAAACCCGCGGCCTGGGCCCAGCGCATGCCCTGCCAGCCCCCCACTCCCACCCCGCGGCTCTGCCCCGCGCCCCCCACCCCCGGACCGGGCAGCAGCGGCGGGTCTCGGACCCGCATCGCCCCAGCCCACCCCGGGCCGAGCTCCCCGAGGAGTGGGCGGCGCCGCCCTGAGCCGTCCTCCCGGCCTCGGGCCCTGGACCCCGGGCAGCGGCTCGCCGAGGACCGGGCGGGCCCCAGGGCGTGGCTGGGGAGTCCCCGGGCAGTCCCCAGAGCCCCCAGCTGCACACTCACCTCCCGGGCGGTACTCGCAGCCCGGCCCGACCCCGGCAGGCAGCGGGCGACGGCGCCAACCCGCGCGCACACGCCACCTCCCCGCAGCCGCACGCAGAGCCGGGCGCGCGCAAACCGTCGCCGGGCGCGGGAGCCCCCCAGCTCGCCAGCACGCAAGCGCGGCTGCCAGGCCCGCAGCTCCAAGCGCCCGCCCCGGCGTGCTCCCCGGGGCCGAGCCTGGAGTCGGCTTCCAAACCGGGTGGAAGCCACTTTGTGGCAGGGGGCCAAAGAGATAGTACAGTGGATAGAGCGCTTGCCTTGCCTGCGTGCAACCAAAGTTCCATTATCACCCACCTCCACTATGTCACCGCTAGGAGTGATCCCTGAGCACAGAGCCTGGAGTTAGCCCGGAGCATCGCCGGGTGTGCCTCATAGGAAAACACACACACGCGCGCGCACACACACACACACACACACACACACACACACACAAACACACCCTGAAAGCCACCTCATGGCCTATCTCAGATGAGGATTTGAGCTTTGTCTTGTTTGTCTGATTGTCCAGTGTTGGAGCTCTCTAAATGCAGAGCCTCAAAACCCTCACATATCTGTTGGGAGGGACGGGGAGGGTCTTCGGAGCGTAATTGCGCACTCAGAAAAAATTATATATTCTCCCAGAATTTAGTGACGAATACTTAGGTTCCATTGGTCTGGTATGTAAACAGGAATCCCAAGCTCTTGGTGTGGAGCACAGCTTCCTAAACTTTACTGACCTACTCCTTTTTCGGGGGGTTAGGGGTACTGTGTTTCCCCCGATCCCCTGGAAATCTTCTTACAAACAAGCAGAAAACACCCCTGCACCCCATGGCTATCACAGTCCTCTCCCCATTCGTCTATCCCCAGAAGGGGGGGGGGCACTAAACCCAACTGTGGGAAACTGAGGCTTGCTTGGACAAGCGTCTGTGTTGAGTCAAATTGATATTCACAGGTTCTCCCTGAGAGCGCGGAGCAGCTTTGTTGCGGGGGCGGAGGGGTTGTTTGGAGGCCTCCCGGCTATGCTGGCTCTGCGCCCAGGAATTACTCCTGGCTGGCTCCTGAGACTTTATGGGACCACCGAGTGCAAGGCAAGCACCTTACCCGCTGTACTGAGCGGCTTTCAGGTGGGTTCCGGGTGGTCTTTGTTAATGAACTTACTCATTATCCGCTCTAGCAGGCGGTAGAGGTGAAACACTCCCATCTGAAAACAGTTCCCTTTTCTGGTCGAGCTGGGTTCCTGTATAAACAGATGAAAATTTGAGAGTAGTTCAGTGAACACTCCACAGCCATTTCTTCAGGTCTCAGTAACCTAACATTTTGTCATAATAGCTCTCTCTCTCACTCTGTCACCTCCCCCCTTTGTCTTCCTCTCTTTGTCTTAAGTACTGTGGTTTTCTAAAAAGACAAAAGAACATCCTTCTGTTTCAGTGGATGCTGGCTAACTCTGGGTCTTTGGAACTAGTGTATAATAGCTCAACAGATTCCCTTCACTGTTACAATTCTTCCCCCACCCCACCCCCCATCTTTCCCGGACATACACACATTTTTTGTTTTTGGACCACAGCTAGCAATATTCAGAGATTACTCCAGAGATTACTCCCTTTCGGAGAGCCTGGTAAACTACCGAGATTATCCCGCCTGCACAGCAGAGCCTGGCAAACTCCCTATGAAGTGTGTAAACTCAAAAAGCCGGCTGCAGCGGGTGTATCTCTCCCACCGCCCGAGTTCTGTAGTCCCACAGTGGTTTCCCCACCCCCGGGAGGTTGATGGCGATGGGCAGGAAAGGGAAGGAACGAGGACCAGACCGGTTAGTCTTGGTTGCAGTTTATTCCAATCCTCTCTCCATTCACTCCTGTCTCTCTCCTCTGCCTCCCCTGCCCATTCTTACAGTCTCATTATATCCCCCAGCATGAAGGGTTGGGGTAACAATTACACATAAGTGTGTTCACAATCAACACAGGTAGAGTTCTTTCCCTCGGGGAAAGCCACTTCCAGGACAGATTCTCATTATCAGATCGACCCACCCTAGAGGGGAATCCCCTGGATGTGTTTCTCCACTCCTTGTCCAACAAACATATAAACATACATAATATAAATCATTTTGTATGGATACAGTAAAAGAGATACCTTAAACTTATAGAATTGCTCTCCAAGGGCCATCTCGATCTCACACTACAGTGCTCAGGCCAGATAGTCTTTCCAATCCCTAGCAGGGTCCTAGTCTCCTTGTTACTTTTGGATCATGACAGCATTTGTCTATGATCAAACTCTGAACTTATAGTTAAGAATCGTGGCACTTTGGCCTGGCCCATTTCGATGCCAGGGTAGCTCACCGCTTGCCCTGGGTCCATTCAGCCCCTCATCGGGACCCTGCTTTTGGGGTGTTAGGAACCAAGGGCAACTGAGGCTTAAGTCGAGAAAGCAAATGCCCAGGAGTGAATAATATTCAGAGCCAATTAAATCCTAAGTTACAAAGCATAATATTAATGATCTTCCTGTATCTATACAAAAAAGGGCATTGCTTTAAAGTGAACTATTCAAAAGACATAAGAAGAGGAGAAAGGCAATATTAACTTACAATACAATTTCAGTGTCCTGGAAGGACCTGACCTTAGAAATAATTAACAGATTCTGATTAGGGGAAAAGCTGACTAACTGGTTGGGGAGGAGAGCATAGGGAAGAATTTACAGATAAACACAATGGAATGGAAGTGCCTCAGGAGCACTGTCATAAACCTGAGTTCCTCGTGGCAAGAGGGAAAGGGCAAACCAATGTTAAGCCTAAAATATTTGGAGCTATATTACAACAATGGCGTATCCGATATGCCAAAAACAGTAACAAGTCTCTCAATGGAGACGTTACTGGTGCCCGCTCGAGCAAATCGATGAACAATGGGAGGGCAGTGCTACAGTGCTACTCCTAGCTCTGCACTCAGGAGTTACTCCTGCCGATGTAAGGGTGACCGATAGGATGCTGGAGGCAAGCGCAGGGTGAGCTGTGTGCAAGGAAAGAGCCCTACCCACTGTGCTTCACTCCTACCCTGTTATTTAATAGCACTTAATTTCACAGCTCAAGTAAATATGTTACTCAAGTAGATATGCTACAGCTCACATAAACGAGATGGAATCAAATGAACAATGGAATCTGCTGCCCCCCTACACACACAATTCAATTCCACCATATTTCTTGTATGTGTGTGTATGTGTATGATAGGGTATTGGATCACACCCAGTGGGGCTCAGGGCTGTGCCTGACTCTCTGCTTAGAAATCACCCCTGGCAGTTCTCACGAGACCATATGCAGTGTTAGGGATTGAATCAGGGTCAACTGAAGCTGCCCCATGCAAGCAAGTACCTTATCTCCTGTACTGTGTCTCCAGAACCTCATCATAATACTTCTATGTCACCACAAAAGAAGAAATTACATCGCATATAAGGAACTGAATGTTGACATGAATGGATGAAATGTGGAACCAGGGAAACAGCAGCTTCAATAGAAAGTGCTATTGCTTATAAAGCAAACTACTTTGTGCCTGTCAAGGTGGCAGGTTTAGGAGTGGGAGGGAAATTGGAGACATCAGTGGAGGGAAGGAGACACTGGTGATGGGATTGGTGTTGAAACTTGAATGCCTAAAACAACTGTATTATGAACATTATGAACAATGTTGTTAATCAAGATGTTTAAATAAGGTTTTTTTTTTTTTGAGTACTATTACTCTTCTGCTTGACTCATCTAAGTCTCTCTGGGGATCAGGACTGAATCAAGTCAGCCAGGAGCTCCTGGGGACACTAGTCCCACCAGGTCCACCAGGCAGCTGTCTAACTACCCATGATCTACATTGCATGGGACCTGATCTCCATCACTCACCTCAGTCTCCCTGGGAAGTGACAGAAGTTTGTACTGATTAAAGTCTGCTCTGGAGGGGCTGGAGCGATAGCACAGTGAGTAGGGCATCTGCCTTGCACCCGGCCAACCTGGGTTTGAATCCCAGCATCCCATATGGTCCCCTGAGCACTGCCAGAAGTAATTCCTTAGTGCAGGGCCAGGAGTAATCCCTGTGCAACACCAGGTGTGACCCAAAAATTT